CCACAGATCAGCTGGCGAACTTGAGCCTCCTGACTTTGTGTTGCAGCACAACTCCTTATCACTAGGCCATGAGAGCTCTGAACTATTTAGAGCACATTTCAAATTTGGAATCCATTCTCAAATACCTAAGTTGACAATTTCTTCTCCAGAGTAACTGTGCTATCATGTAGTCTGTTCACACAGATCTGGGTAAGGCATTGTTCAAGCAACAACACAAGAGCTATGAAATAGCAGCAGAACCACCAGCAAAAAATATCTGACAAGTTTACAGACCTCAGGAACAGATTATCCAGGAGACTGGGCTCTATGAGGAGCAATGTAGCATCAGGAATGGAGGAAGACTCATCAACAATCTGCGTTATGCAGATGATGCAACCCTGCTTTCTGAAACTGAGGAGGACCTGAAGCGCTTGTTGTAGAAAGTCAAGGACTGCAGCATTCAATATAGATTGAAACTCAACATCAGTAAAACAAAGATTCGAACCACTAGGCCAATTGGCAGCATTGTGACAGATAGTGAAGCGATTGAGATTGCTGACAACTTCAGTTTGCTTGGCTCCAGAACACTCTTGGTACCAGTAGCCAGGAAAATTAAAAGACAAATTGCACTGGGAAAGTCAGTCGGCTGTCAGAGACATCTCCAAAGTATTGAAGAGCAATGATGTCAGTCAGAAAACTAAGGTGTGCCTGATACAGGCCCTGGTCTTGCAATTACTTGCTATGCAACAGAGAGCTGGACAATGACTAGGGATGACAGGAGAGTTGATGTCTTTGAGCTGTGGTGCTGGAGAAGAATACTGAATATACCATGGGTTGCTAGGAGAATATAAACAAGTTTGTCCTAGAGAAGGTAAAGCCAGGCTGCTCCTTGGAGGCAAGGATTCTACAGTTCCATCTGATATACTTTGGACATGCTGCAAGGAGGGATCAGTCCTTGGAGAGGGATGTCATGCTTGGGAGAAGGGAGGGACAGAGCAGGAGAGGAAGACCCTCAATGAGATGGATCGATTCAGTCACTGGGGTAATGGGGATAGGTGTGTCAGAGACAGTAAGATTGGCAAGGGATAGAGCAGGGTTTAGAGCTGTTGTACATAGGGTTGCTATAAGTCACAGGCTACATGACAGCACAAAACAACAACAAATAGACCTTTGAAAGAAAAATAAAGATTAAAGAAAAGTTGGACGGAGCCCACCTCCCAAGGTTTTAAAAGAATCCTCTTAAGGCAAACTGTAGAAGTCATTTGTTTCTGGAAAACAGGTACACATTCATATCCTATATATCCTATGTAGCTAAGGGAGAAAAGTGTGAACTGATAATAGATGATGTTGGTAAACTAAATGTAGGCTGAGAAAGTAAAATTTTTAATGGTTCAAAAAGAAAAGTCTTTGGGTTAAATAAATGACTTTTGTAAACTATTCCCAAAGATTTTTCTTTTCTGTAACTTTTATTTTCTTTGTGAAAATCTGACAAATTTCAGTTAGTTACCTAAATAAACTTCTGCCAGAGACCAAGAAAAGACCATTCATCTCATCTGCCAACAAGGAAACTAAATCAGGAACTAAAACTCCTTCCTCCAGGCAACCAACAATCAGGTGAACACAGTTTGCCGTACTATCTTATCCAATCTGAACAAGATGACTAAAGAAACAGGCTGAATATTAATGGCTCAAATACTCGATATATTATCTGTAGGAAATCACACTTTCCTCACAATCTAAATTGAGGTCTATTAATAAGCAATGAAATAATAATCTTACTCAAATCTTACACATAAGAAAATGGGTGGAAATTTTAATAGCTAAAATCCTTCTAAATTTTACAGATAAAACCAATAATTAATAAAAATGAATCCAGAGCCTGAACATTTTATTCCTTCTCCATTCCTGCTCTAACGAAACAAGCTGCTTCGGAATTGACTAGTAGATGACAAACCTACCAGGCACAGACTCTTCAGTTGGCAATGAGTAAAATTTACAATAATGTCAAAGCAGCATTTTTCCCTAATATTTTGCTTGCTGTTGCCAAGTTTCAATCTAAAATACTGGGGCAAAAATTAAGCACTTCATCAGCATATCTGCTTGCTTTTGACTAGTTAACATGTTAATCAAGAAAAGGGCTGTGAGGTCCAACTATTAGATAAGCTATTTGGAAAAGGAAAAATATTTGTCTATGAATTTGTGGATGAAATGTTTCCAAGAAGAAATTATAAATGGGTTCTATTTTTGTTCTCTTCTATTATGAATGACAGCTTTAACATTCTTAGAAACCTTAAGAATATAATGACTCAATCTTTAAAAGCCTCCAGGGATTATTGTACATTAATGTATCAGAGTCAGTAAATTATTTATCTATAAATTAATCTTTCTAAGCAGATTTTTGACCCCCTTCAATCTGAAAGCTAAACTCATGAGTCTCTACTTTAGCAACCTCATATCTGAAGAGCCTACATCTGTAAAAACATTTCTAATAAAAACATGAAGACAACCCCCAGAGAAGCAAATAAAATGAGATTTAAGTCTATAGCAGACTTTCTACAGTTACATTCCTAACAAAAGTGGATTCTAACTTGATGCCAAAGAGAGGTTATGTAACAAAAGCAGTGAGAGCTCTAGTTCTTTTGGTTCAGTTACTTAAACAATTCTGTCTGTATTTTCCCACTTGCAACAAGATGACTTACATCTTAGCTCCCTGAGTCATGAAAGCAGAGCCCACCAGCAAGAAAGCAGCTTCATAGCTCTTCCTGTAGAACAGGTGGGAGAACAAGCACACTCTGAACTCTAAGGCTGGACTCTAAAGGTTGTTACAATCGCCAAAACACAGAGACCAAAAAGATGGATATAAATGTGTAAGTCTCAATCTATTAAAAATCCTTCACTCAGATTTTATCTAAAACTCCCACACAAAATTATCACTTAAACATACAACTGATAATAAGACCATCACCAACAGAAAGATACTGAGCCTAATTTAGAAAGCTAGCAAATTGATTAAACAAACAAAAAGTTACCTCTACAATTTAAATGCCTGATCTAAACTACCTGCTAAATTAAATGATGAAACCATTTTTTGTTTTATCAGCTTTATTTTTATCTTTTTATTGTTGTTCTTTTCCAAAGGTGAATAAGATTTTGAATTCTATAAAATACGAGGCATTACAGTAATAAATTTCAAAGATCATCCAGTCTTCCTTTAAAATATTCAAGATCAAAATGTCATCTTCAATTATTGCTAAAATGAACTGGTCAAATTACTTCTTTTGTGCAGAGCCCTGATGGGGTTAGGGAGCAATGATGGGTTCTAAGTCACTGTGATTCCATGCACAGTAAAACAAAACACTGCATGGTCTTCTACCATTTTTACAACGGTCGTTATAGTTGAAGATACTGGTGTAGGTCAATGCATCTTGTAGAGTCTGCCTCTTTTTTTTACACACTTGCTACTTTGGCTCTGCATGACATCCTTTCCACAAATTGTTCCTCTTGATAATGAAGCATCTATGTACCCTTAAATCAGACATGAATTCCCAACTTTGCTGAAATCAAAAGGAATTCAAGTCTAGACAAAAATCACCAATATTTACCAGGTAAAGATGATATATCCTCCAGTGTAGTATGTGCCAGGTTTAGACATGGAAAAATAGACTTTCTTTGTGATATACAATCATACAATTCTTTTTTTAAAAAACACAATCATATAATTCTTAAAGATACATAATTTAAAATCTTAATTTTCTTAATTAAATATTTGAAGTCTTTTGTTATGTGCCACAGTTAAGAAACATCCTTGTTCATTTGTTAACTGACTCATTCATTCTTTACTTGTGGTTGAGCTGTATTTTTCTTGGCGGATTGTCTTATTATAAATAGATGATTCAGTAATCAATGTAAATATGTTAGATAACATTTACAAACATAATGGCTGCTGCTAAAAGATTACAAAGATGTTAAACTGTCACACTCCTAATTTTAAGATATTTAAAAAGGCATTACAAATGAAAATAATAAAGTACAAAACCAAAGTGACAATCTGCTGTTTGGAAGCAAAAGGGATTGTTCAAGAACTCAAAGACGTATACTATTATGATTTTATTTGTTAAGTTACAGAGCCACAAGATCACATTACTGAAGGAAAAATAATCCAAACGTTTTTAAAAAATCCTTTTTGTTTCTTTAAATCGAAGGCCCCCTCTAGTGTTTGAAAATAGTCATATGCAGCACACAACATAATCAAAAGTAAACAGTCTAAATATTTTCCACAAGACATTCCATAACAAAAAGAATACTTTTGTTCCATTCATGTGGCACCAAATCATTCAATGTTTTGTCATAATTAATATTTTTTCAAATCCCTGCCATGATTTATGATTTATGAATCCATGATCCTTCTCATTCAATAATTTCTTTTTCTGTTATTTTCTGTGGGGTTATTTTGGAAAATACTTCGTTAATGAAGAAAACGTAAAGTGTTTAAGAACTTTAATTTCATAAACAAGTGGTCTATCCATGGGAAGACATGAGAAAATTAGTTAATGGAATGTTAAAAAACAGGCTATTTTGCTTTTAGCAAAGTTAGCCGTAAAGGGCATAACTTCCTAAAGTATAATTTTTATATCTTCAAGAATTAAAAAAACTACATTGATAAAAACTCCTCTAATTTGTGAATTTGCTAATGTATCTTCTCACTGCCTGTAGGAGGAGGTGGAAAGTGTTACTTAGAGGACAAACAATGAATCTGAAGAATCCGATGTAAAGGAATCCTTCAAGTAATATGGACATGGCACTATACACATCTATTGAGTGACTTAAGCTTTTGTACTTTTGGAAAAGAATGATTAAAATTAAGGAGACTAGAAAAGACTTCTCAGTTAATGCTTTTATGCGTCTTCTTCCATATTTCGGGGTGGGGGGGAGCATCTCTAATTCCAACCAAAGATTACAGTGTAATAAATCGTGCACAGTAGAGTGGTGAGATAACCACTTAATAGCAAAAGGAAGCTTTGACTTAAAATTCGAAAGTTCAATAGCTCTTGAAACATGTTTAATCTGTATTAATTTTATTTAAATAAACAATTTGTCATCCAATAGGCCATATGGCTTCTCTGTCTTGATTCTGCTTTCTGTTTGCAAATTTGTCACTTTCAAAATTTTACAAGTTAAAGGAAAAAAAAAGATCTTCTGAGTTAAGTAAAACTGGTTACATTTAAAATTGGTTCAAGTATTAAGACATTCAAATGGAATAGGACACAGCATTGTTAAAGTGCCAACAGCGAATTTTTTTGGTTCAACATGAAAAACTGTAGACTGGAAATTACTCCAGTCATTATTCTTAAAACAAAGTTAGTGAAAAGATGCTGTGAAAGCTAACATCAAATTATAAATGATGAGCAAGACTGGAGAATCATTTAAAATGAGTCTATAAAAAAAGAATAGCTGCAATAAAAGCAGCATAAGGAGTGTAGCATAAAGCAAAAAAGAAAATAAATACTATACAACATACAAAAATTTTGCTTTCAAAAAATTGAAAATAGTATTAAAAATCCATTTTATACCTCTTTTTAGGGTCTTAAAATGAAGTTAAAATTAAGACCTGGAGTCTCTGTGAAGATTTTCCAAATGTTATTCATTACTGGCAATATTTTTTGCTAAAACTTCTCTGATTTGTCGGTCAAGTTCACTTATTATTCGATCTTCATGATTATACACACCCGTTCTCATCAAAGTATCCCTTTCCTCTATTAGACGAGTCAAATAATCATCCAATCCTTCTTCCAATGCCTTGCCATGCGGGCTATCCATTTTTCCACTTGCAATCTCTCTGGAATCCTGATACTGTTTTTGGTCTTGTTGCCTTAACCTGAGAATATAAGAATTAATGTTCAAGTGGGCAGCAAATACTGTGTTGGCTTTCATAACAGCATTATTTAAAAACAATATGATAAAACAAGCTTTAAGCAATTTTTAATGATGAAACAATCAAAACTCAATGTTCTACTTGGTTGGTCAAAATTAGCATATTTATAAAAGGCCGCTTCCAAAATAATTACTTTTAAAATTTAAAGTAATAATGAAAACTCTAGAAATATGAGATGATTAAACAAAATAAAAATCAACTGCAATATTGCTATTGAGAGATAACCAAACTGAGTAACACATTTCTGTATAGTCTTTCAACAGAAAATACGTATTTTTAAATATATATACAAAGTTATTTATTACTTTACCACCTACATACACAGTAAATATTTTCTGTATCAATGAGCGTTCTTTTTGCATTTGGATGCAATATTATTTACTTTGTTGTTGATCTCTAAGTACTACTAAGCTTTTATTGCTATTATTTTGAACATCAATATTTTTCCTAGATTTTGTAAACAAATTCTTATTTGTTAAATTCTATGTTTGGGGATACTTCATTAATAAGTTCCTACTTTTAGAAACTATATCTTTTTATGTAAATACAAATGTCTACTTTAAAGGCAATTTGCATTTTAAGACTTTGTATGGGTAGCTTCAAGTTACTCTTTGTGACTACATTATCTTATTATCAACTACAACCCACCCATAGTCACCCTAAGCCAACCTCTCCATTTCTGACACACCTGACCAACCCCAATGCCAGTCACGGTGTCAATGGATCTCATCCAGGGTATTATTCCTCTTCTGAGCTGACACTTCCAAGCATGATGTCCTTCTCCAAGGACTGGTTTCTCCTGCTGACATGCCCAAGTATGAAGTGAAAAGTGGAAAGCAGGTTCTAGCATAAGATTTGGCTATGTCCAACAGAATACTGGCAGCCACACTGTCTTGAAAAGGCTCACCAGAGACCTCTGGTGTTCTATTTCAAAGGGAGTTACAATACTAACACAAAGGCTATGTCTCTCTGGCGTTTCAAATCCACAGGTCCTTTTTGGCGGAAAAATGGGCACTCTCGACCAGTGTGATTTATAGCCTTGGAAAGTCCATGGGAGCATTAGCCATGAATCAGTTAACATGACCTGTCCCAATTGGAATTTGTTCATTCATTCACTATAGTATTGGAAGTAGAAGTGGCATCCATTTCCTAAACAACATGCCTCGGGAAACTATGAATTTGGATAAATGAATGACGATAGTTATAGAAAGGCTTCAGGCCCTGTGTTCATAGGGTCACTGTGAGTCATGCTCAACTCAATGGCAATCAACAATTCATTAATTTTCTATATTTTACAATTAATACTCTAGATCTTTTCCTTTAGTTGTCAAATTAATGCCAAACTCATGAGAAGTCGACATACATCACCATAGAAGTATGGGCCATTCGGTTTTCAATGATTTATCTTTCTGGAAGTAGATCTCTAGGTCTCCTGAGAAGCTTCTGGGTGGACTAAAACTGCCAATTTTTTGGTTCACAGCTGAGCACATTAACCATTTATAACAACCAAAGACTCCTAATTCTCTAAATGTGGTTCTTTAATTCAGTTCTGATCCCAGTTAACAAAGTAACTGCATTTTCTTAGCTTATACATAATAACTGCATTTTCCTAGCTCACAGGTGGGCTACTTTGTATAATGTATGCTTTGCTGAAACAAAAAGGTACAAGTTACTTAACAAACTAGGCTAAAAAAATCATCTTCTACTTTCTTAAAAAACAAAAAAACCCACCCCCAAAACCCTAAAGCCAAGAAACAAAACTCCATTTTTTATTGTCAAATGTCAAAGAAAGAAATTACTTCTTTTCCAACATGAAAAACTATTTAAAAAAATACTGTTTAAAACCATTACTATAGAATGAGTCTGAGGATCCAAAGCGGGGAGGGAGGAAGCAGATAGTTGTGGATGTGCGGGCGGGGGTGCGTGGTGATGATTAATCTGGGGCTCTACAATTTGATGGGGGTGCAAAGGAAATGGGAGTGATCTGGTATGAAAAACAATGTATTTGAATTTTATAAATAAACTAGTATTAAAAAAATTAGTAAAGTCGATGTCACACTACACTGAAGCCCACTGTAGCATAGTAATTAAAAATACAATCTCAAAAATTAGATTTGAACTATGGTCCCAAGTTTCACTAGCTGGCTAATCTTGCAAAGGTATTAAATCTCCTTAATCTCGGTTTATCTCTAGAAAGGGACAGCACCCTCAAAGAGTTACTTTGAAGATAAACATGAGATATGCATGCAAGTCATTTAACATAATTTCTCACATCAATAAGAGCTCAATAAATGATGACCATTTATTACTGATCAGTAAGAATATCAAGTTGAAATTCCTTATCCTTTATTTAATTAAAAATTCAATATGTTCACACATCTGACTCACGTGAATTATCTAGCAAGATTATCTAGAAAGGTAAGCAGTTTTACTCAAGTTCACTTCACTTGAATCAAGACTGACTCCTAGCTAATCCTCCAGCGGGTTTAAACCTCACTGGAGTTGGAAGTGACAATTTTTACCCCCAGTGAAGCTGCGGGCAGATTAGAACCTAGTACCTATGGGTTGAGAGCACAGTTCTTTACCATTAAGCTATCAGAGATCCCTTAATTAAAAATTCAATATAGCCTTTTATTTCAAAATAGTACTGGTTGTTGCTGTGTGCTGTTGAGTAGAAACTGATCCACAGTCTGAAAACCTTGAGTGGGCTTTCAGAAGCAATAAACTGCACAAGAGGAACTTGCCTATCCTTCTCCTGTGGAGCAGCTAAGTAGTATAATCCTTTCATAAATTCAAACACATAGTCTTCAAGTTAAAACTAATCCCTAGGGAGCTCTGGTGGCCTAGTGGCAAGAAGCTGCACTGCAATCCCAGAGGTATGCGGTTCGAATCCACCAGATGCTCTGCTGAAGAAGGAGGGGCAATCTCCTCCTGTACCAGTCTGATCCGATTTGATGGTACACGCACAAAAATAAAATTTAAAAAAAAAACTTAAAAAAACAAAACAAACAAACAAAAGAACTAACCCCTAACTGACCCTTCAGTGGGTTTTTGGAGACTGTTATCACACAGGAAGAAAAAGCCCATCTTTCTCCATGGAGCCCCTAGTGATGAACCTCCAGAGGAGTACTGCCTTTGGGTTAGCAGGGCAACTCTGTACAGACTACACCAACAGATCCCTAAACCTCAAACAGTAATAAATACCAAAGCCAGGAACAAAAGCAAAATCTAAGTATACATGTGGGTATTATGATACCTGTTCAGTTCATTTCTTATATCCAACAATTCTTGGCGCTCAGATTTTACTGTATCTTTTTCCTCAGCAGCCAGGTAACGTAGTCTCATTTGTTCTAATTCTTCTTGCTGTTTTTTAAGACGAGCCATTTGACTTTCTTGCTCACGCTTGAAAGGAAGAAAAAAACCAAATCTAAAACACAGCTAGTATAAGGGAAAATGATGTATTTCATATAACTAATCTGTGATCATAATTTTGTTGACACTAGTAATACAGTCATGCACTGCCAATACTATGAGTCACATATTATCTAGAAATGCTCACATCTTCTCTGAATATACTTATTACTTCTTCTGCCATTATAAGCCATAATCCAATGGTCCAATAATATAAGCCATCTCGATGCTCCAATCAGTGACTGAGGTTAGCTAAATATTACAGGATGACAGAGTTGATGACAAGAGTTGGATGTCGGTACAAGAAGATTCCACGAGGACTAATGGTGATAACAACATTTAAAGAACACTAATTATATGAAGATTTACAAAGAAAGATTTAATACTCTTTTCTGCATGGATCACTAATCTCATTTCTACTTATAATAAGCCTTTCTATATTTTTGTCAGGTTCATACAAAAATTTGTGCATACATATACAAATGTATACATTTTGAGCAAAACTTAGGAGAAAAGGATATATTTTACTTTGCTTTTTAAACTTTATAAATAGATAAAATCTCTCTTTAAAACAAATGTGTAAATTGTCATTTCCTCAATGAAGACTAATTTAGCTACTGGAAATAATACTGCACTAAAATACTCACTCATCCAGCACAGTTAGCTCATTAGCCTCTGTGTATCTTTAGATACAGTTACATTTCTCACCTTAGACCTCAATGTTGCAGAACAAAAGTGTCATCTTTTAAAACTAAATATTCACTGCATTATGGCAATGAGAAAACTATCAAAACACAAGAGGACTTTTAAGTAACTATTCCTCAAGTAAACCACTCTAAATCCACCAGTCAGGCAAGCATACAGAACAATTTCTGAACCCTAGACGTACCCTTCTGTTGCGCCAAGTCACTACTACATACCCTTTCCCAAAGTTACCTATTAATCTACTTCCTCATACAATGTTTGCCTACTTTGAACTTTATATAAATGGAACAAAATAGTATACAATAGTTTTGGCTGACTTCTTTTACTTAATATTTCTAAGATTCACTAGTATTTTGTTTTATGTAGCATTCTAATGTTACACAACATTCTACTGAATGAGTATAAAATTTAGTCATTCTTGTGTTGACAAATGCTTGTGTCGTTTCTCCTTTATAAATAATGCTGATGTGAACATTATTGTCCATGTCTTTTGACACACCTTTGTATGCATTTCAGAATTCAAATGCTATGGAAAACCCTTTGCTATCCAGTCAGTATCAAATCATAGCAACCTTAAGGTACTGAGGAGAACTGCCTCATAGGAGTTTCAAGGCTGTAAATTATTATGGAAGCAGATTGCTTCTGAGTGCTTAACAACTGCACCACTACTTCCTCAAACCACTACTTCAAATAAGTCATTGCCTTTATGTCAGAATCAATATATCTGACTATCCATTGGGTTTCTAAGAGTATACATCACATAGAAGGAGGCTGTCCATCTTTCTCTTGTGGAGTTGCTGGTGGATTCAAATCATCTCTCTACAGTTTATGTGAATTTTAGCCATTAGTGAATATTGCCACACAGCATTCAAAGAGGTTGAAATAATATAAATTTCCACCATAGTATGAGTGCTCCAGAATTCCATATTATTGTCAAGACTTGGTAATATCATTTCTTGACATTTTAGCCATTCTAAAAGAAGGACCTGTATTCATCTCATTGTGTTTTTTTCATTTCTCCAGTAATTAGTGAGGAGCAGTGGCTAAATTACCCACTACTAACTGTCAGACTGAATTTATGAATTACTCAATGGGAGAACTATGTGACTATCTGATTCTGTAAAGATTTACAGTCTTGGAACTTCTTTGGGACATTTCTGTTCTGTCTTATAGAGTTCATAATAGACTCAATGGCAATGGGTACCAAAATAATTTAATGATTTGGATAAACAAATTTTTTTGTTGTTGTTGTTATGTGCCATCGAGTCGTTTCCGACTCATAGCGACCCTATGCACAACAGCTCTAAACCCTGCTCTATCCTGCACCAACCACACCGCCTCTGACACACCCATCCCGATTACCCCAGTCACCAAAT